AAAAAATGCACAGGTTAGGGTGACTACATAGAAAGTTGAGTAAAGTTCGCTCCGCCCGCGCGAGCAAAGCGACTGCAATGGAAAATGGCCTTTGTGAGAACATTGGCGGAGTAATTTAAAAATAAACATTGTCTAAGTCGAAAAAATCAAAACTGAAGTGTATGAAGCTTTTAGCTCGTTTTTTTTTCCCATACAACAACCTAAACACCCACATGTACTGTTCATCCTACTCACTCACTGCGTATGAGTGTATGACCAAACACGCAATTTATACAGCTGCGTACAGACGCTCTATATAAACGCTATAGTTATACCACATCCCTTCGTGATTACAATCATGGCCCAACGTGTTGGCTTGACAAAAAATATTAGCGAATTTGGTAAGACACTTTTTATATTTTACATTATTTCACAATAATCATACACATATTTTGCTATTTTTATGTTTATTCACTCTAATCCAAATCGGTTTCTGTATTATATCCTTCTTATACATGCGTCAACCCCAATCCCTGTTGACGAGTCCATGAAGGACGAAACGCCGCGTACAGGGATACTGAATTTCACACACATGACTATCTCCTTTCGCTTTATATATTTTACATGCCTCCATGCAAGCTTTTTAGTACAGTCGCGCGCGAGATATCATACTCCTTGAGTCTGATTAAATTTTTTTGCACCACAGGATATTTTACCGTTACAATTTCACACACGCATCTCCAATTTTATGTTCCAAAAGTCTACACCTACACATATTTCTTAGGTTCACATTTATACATATACAAGTGTTTTTTTATGTTTTATTCTCCAATTAATCTATACAACAATTTTCCGCAAGCATACATTGTGCAAACAACACCAGGCCATCACACTATCATATTTCACACTAGATTTTTTATCTAACATTTAGGGACTATTGTGGCATAAACTTATATTACAAGGACACCAATATGGTTCTCATTACCTATACCGGGTGGCCCAAAAAAAAGTACTCCTGTTTGATTCGTAATAACTTCTAAACAAGTAAAGTTTTTAAAGAGAAATAACTTGCATTAAATAGAGGAAGGACTAACTTAGATTTTGATATATTACAGTTGTATTTAACTTAAAAATTCACGGATATATTAATGTTAAAAATGGGGAGCATATTTTGGAATGTGTCTAAAATTAGCGAAAATCGGCATATCAAATATTAACTCCAGCGTTTGTTTGCTTAATGACATATTAGGCTAACTTGTATTTCAGCGAATTATCGTTAAGGTTTGTAAGGGATATGGCGTAGATTTAGACATCTTACATGTAAGTCTTAGCTCATTGTTTCCTGAAATATGAACGTTCGAAATTATGCAAGTATTTAATATTAGGTCTTTGCAAACTTAAATGTACATGAAAGACTGACCATGGAAGGCAGGCGCTTAAATTTTTCGTATTCTTAAATACGGTAGCCTAATTTTTTTATGTTTTTAATGGGTTCAAACAGACTGAGTAGATTATTTCTCGGTTAGAGCAGGATGAATATTCTTTGTTGAAGGAAATAATATTGCTTTTTGCAAATACACATCACCGTATCAACGCTACTACCGTATTTTGTTACGTTTTGTTCCAAAAATGTTGCATGTCTCTGGGGAGTTGCTTAATTGTTATGTCTTATGGAGTTGTATGGTTTGATTGTGTTTCATATAATTCTCAGTTTACTCCATGAACTTGCCAAGATTAAGAAACGGCAAAAGAGTTTGGGTGTTCTTAACAGGATTTCAGAACGTTGCAGAAGTTAGAAGAGCTTCACAATTCTGTTGTGACAGCATGCCCTAATTCAGAACTACGAACGATCCAATGACGATCCTTCGCGATGCAGTGGTCTCATGAAATAAGGAAACGTATTCGTGCTAGGAACACACGCTAATTTCGGACGAATGAATCTTGCTTGTATTTTGTAGATATAATAATACTTTGTTTCATAATAAACAATTTGTCAAGTGTCATTTATTTACTGGTAATAGTGCATGTTTCAGTCGGGCAAATCTTGATTAATATTTGATACGCCGATTCTTGCATATTTCAGACACATCCAGAAATATCCTCCCGAATTTAAAGATTAATATCTCCGTGAATTTTTAAGTGAAATACAACTGTAATATATCAAAGTCTAAGTTAGTCCTTCCTCTATTTGATGCAAGTTATTTCTCTTTAAAAGCTATACTTGTTTAGATGTTATTACGAATCAAACAGGAGTACTTTTTTTTGGGCCACCCGATATCTAAACTTAAAAAACAACCAAGCTATGCAAGAACATAAAATGAAATAAAAACCTAAATAAACTCAGTTCGTCTAATAAAAAGAGAGCTCCTTTGTTCACATACGCAGATCGGACTGTACGGCATCTTTAAGTAATCTTTGCTTAATTTTTAACCATGCAGTTGTACTAGTAAAATTAATGCTAAATCAAGATATATGTCTGTTTAATGATTTTACTTACGCCTTTAGCACCGTGTAACGAATAGCTAAAAATCGATAAACATTTCGAAGTTTAAAGTTTCTGAAACGTTCTCTGATCGTAAATTTTTTATTTGAAACACAAGCTTCCGACTGCCAGTCTGCAGTCTTCGACAGGTAAAGTGATAATATTAAACTATTCTACGGATATAGCTACAAGGACAGTGGTTTCCAATTACAATTATAATGACATGCAATATAACAATGATTAGTTCCGCCTACGTAAACTCTCAGTGAAACGAGTATACTTATAAATATAAAACTATGTCTATGATCTGTTCTTTTTTAATAAAAATCTGTATTGTTCCGGTAAATGTTGTGCATTGTTGTCAGAATTGGCTGTGGTTGCTGTATGCCAGAACTCCAGTGTTGCTCTGTGTCGATAGGTTGCCTTGTTTAAGATTTCGCACTCATCAAAGTTGATTTTATGGTCCTGAGTCCAAGCATGTTTTGCTATGTTTGAGCCGGATTTACATTGTTTCACGCTTCTTTTATGTTCCTTTTTTCTCGTTTCGAGAGCTCTACCAGTCTCACCTATGAAGCTCCAGGAGCAGTCTGCGCAATTAATCTTGTACACGACGTTGGTCTGTTTTTCGGGAAGTGGTCTGTCCTTTGGTGACGGAAAGCCTTGTTCTAATGTTCGGAGTGGTTTCGTTGTTGTTCTGCAGATGTCGTATCGTCTGAGTAGTCTTTTCAGGGGTTCCGTTGAGCCGTTAATGTAGGGGAGGACTGCGTAACTGGAATTGTTCTCTGGTTCGACATTTTCAAAAAACATACGTACAAGTTCTTCGGGTGATGGCACGAATTCTGTTTTCCTTGCACGTCTCTTCACGACTTCGTCTAGAAATATTTTAGGATACCCATTACTTCTCAGAGCGACAAAAACGCGATCTTTCTCTTGTTGCTTGCTATTATAGTCTTTTATTTCTCTAAACGTATAATTGTAACTACAAAGTCTGCCATGCATATAATATATACACTAAGTCCACATGCAAGCTTTTCCCGCCATCTCAAAGTCACGTGTCCACCGCTGGACAAGATATCTCTCCCTTTGTATTAATTAAAGGAACCAAACACAATTTTAAATGTCATAACTAATGTCAAACCCAGTTCGCTTGTATATAATATGAAGTCCAATTGTTTATGTTATAAAGTCCTGCATTCTAGCTGGAGGTCTACGCATCCTTGCAGGTCGTGTGTTTACAGTGACTGCAGGCACGGCTGTTACTGATTGCCCTTCAATCTCGTCCTCTCCGTCTGAGCTTTCCGTAAACTGTTCGACACCGGCATTTTCAATTTTCCTAGTCAATGAGACATTACGCATGATAGCTGGCTCGTTCCCTCGCTGCAGAAGAACACTACTTCCATGCCGTTTAACCACGCGATAACCATTGGGATCAAAGGATGTTGACAACTTATTGCTCTTAGGCTGTTTGAGTACCACCGCTCTATACGTGGAGGTGGTTTTTCCTTCGGGCTATAGATAAACTCGAGTGGCTTGTGGTCAGTGAAAAGTTTAAACGTAGTGCCATAAAGATACAGGTGGAACTTTTCACACCCCCACACAACTGCGAGTGCCTCTCTTTCTGTCTGTGAGTAGCGCCTCTCAACATCGGTGAGAGTTCTCGATGCATATGCAACAGGGCGTGTCTCGTGGCCATCGGACTGCATTAGGATGGCGTCTAACCCAACTGGACTGGCATCCACCCTAACCTCAGTTTCTGATTCAGGGTTATAATGAGCCATTACGCAGTCGCTGGTCAAACTGTATTTTAGCTCGTTGAATGCAAGCTGCTGTGGTTTTCCCCAAGCCCATTTGGCCCCCATTCGAGTTAACTGCCTAAGTGGCTCGCAAATGGTGGCCAATTTTGGAATGAAGCGAGCACAATAATTGACCAAACCAAGAAAACTTCGCACCTCCCCGGCATTGGTTGGATGGCCTCTACTTTCTTGTCATCTGGAGACAGGCCGGCAGCGGAGATTTTAAAGCCAAAGAAAACTAGCTCAGGAACACTAAAGAGACACTTGTCTTTGTTGAGAGTGAGCCCGTTGGCATGCAGGCGTTGCAGGGTCTGGTCCAAACTGCGGTCATGTTCAGCCTGTGTTGTTCCAAAGACAATAATGTCATCGGATATGTTGCGGACCCCTGGGATCCCAATTAGCACTTGCTGGATGACAAACTGGTACATTTCAGATGCTGACGACAAACCGAAAATTAATCGTTTATACCGCTTTAAACCTTGGGGAGTGGAAAAAGTTGTCAGCCCACGAGAATCTGGGTGGAGCTCAATTTGGTGGTAACCCCAACGCAGGTCTAGCTTGGAGAAAACTGTTGCCCCATTGAGGGCTTGCACCGTCTCTTCCAATGTGGGGATGGGGTGGCGTTCACGAATAACGGCTTCGTTTGCCCGCCGCATATCAACACAGACGCGTACTTCACCATTTGCCTTCGGGACTGCAACTAAAGATGAAACCCAGTGGGTTGGGCCCTGGACCGACTCGATAAAATCAAGATCCTCAAGTTCTGTAATCTTCTTGTCTACAACTTTACGATGTGGAAAGGTACCCGTTTAGGTGGCTGGGCAACTGGAGGGATATCGGGGTTCACATGCACTTTCAATTGGTAATTGTTTAGCTTACCTACACCACTGAACACTGTTGGATACTTGGAAAGTATGACTTCAACATCACTTTGCATTGTTACAGCATTAAGAGTAGTTCCAGAAAGTAGCCCGATTCTCAATAAACCAAGAGCAATTGCTGTAGACTTTCCAAGTAAGCAGCCTGAGTCGATTGTATTCACGACGATAAATTGGGCATTGGTAGATGAGGCTGTTTCACCGGAAACAGCTAGAATCGTAACCATGGCATCGAATTTCCCCAGTACCGGAAGTGGTGTAACAGCTCCATAGGAAAACAACTTTACACGCGAATCTGAGAGTTTTATAGTGTTTTGGGGTCCATTATAAAGACGATTGAAAGTGTTCTTGTCCAGAACATTCACACCGGCTCCCGAGTCAATAATCACTGGAATCTCCGTGCCATGAACAGTAATCGTGACGCTGGTCTGTTGCTCGCTGTTCTTTGGGTCATTCAATGTAAATACATATTCGTCATCGTCAGAAAAGTTGTTGTTCTCTCGCTGTTCAATGTAGCGAACTCTTTCGGATTGTTCTGGACGCCTGGCGCTCTTACAAACACGACCAAAATATCCAAGTTTGCCACACTTATTGCATGCTTTGTTATTGGCTGGGCACGAAGCATCTTTTGCTCGATGACCGTCACGACCACAACAATAACAAGCTCGTTTGGGAAGTCGATCGTCTGACGGCGAGTCTTGACGCTGTGGGCTAGCTGCAGGACGCTCTGAACGAAATTCTCGACTGCTATTGGTATTCGATCGAGGCTGGATAACATATGCAGAGCTTTTCTCAGCATCGCTCTCGGAATTCTTGGTGCCTTCGATTTGTTGTGCTTAGCGATCAGACGCTTCGAGGGCTCTGGCAATGCGTAAAATAACATCGAGGGTAAGGGTTTCTTCGCGAAGTAACCGACGCCGTAAACGCGTTGAATAACATTTCTCCAGGACCTGATCGCGAATCATTTCGTTGGACAAGGTACCATAATCACAAGTTTGTACTAATCGTTTGAGTCTATAGTAACGTACGTATCCATCGTTTCCGAGGGATCTTGGGTGGCTTGTCTAAACATATGGCGTTCAAACGGGATATTCTTTTGCGGTTTGAAGTAGGCATCCAACTTTTCGACATCAATGCCCGTTGTCGTTTCTTGTCCGTCACGTTCGAAGCGACCAGAAAATATTCGAAACTTTTAACCCATTTTGTCCAACGTTGACTGAGCGTAGCACTGTCAGATAACACAGAGAAGGGTGCTAGAGTGGGAAGTTGCAAAGCTGCCATAGGTTCAATGTCTCGTCGCCAATATTATATTCTTTCATTTCTCTAGACGTATACTTGTAACTACAAAGTCTGCCATGCATATAATATATTCACTAAGTCCACATGCAAGCTTTTCCCGCCATCTCAAAGTCACGTGTCCACCGCTGGACACTATACTTGCCTTCGTTCGTGTTAGGGAGATGGCTGCTCGGTGAAGGCGTGTTCGTGCTGCGCTGATCTTGTGTTGTTTGTCATGATGTGAGTTGTAGTCTACGTATATGTCAGTGTGTGTAGGTTTACGGTAGACGTTAACGTTGAGACACCCGTTGTTACGGGTTACCATTGTGTCTAAGAATGAAAGTTGTCCGTTTTGTTCTTGTTCAATAGTGAAGTTTTTGTGTGGGTCAATGGTATTCAGTAAATTGTGGAAATTAGTAATAGCATGTTTTTTGATGATTGAAAAAACATCATCCACAAAGCGAAACCATTTTTTCGGTGGCTTGTCGGTTCGGTTAAAGGCTAGTTCCTCGATTTCCTCCATACGGAGGTTTGCCACAATAGGGCTAACGGGACTGTCCATAGCACAACCTTGAATCTGTTTGTACGTCTCGTTATTATAGTTGAAATAGCTGTTTGACAAAGTAAAGCGTAAGAGTTTAATGATATCGTCAATGGATAAATTAGAACGTTGTCCTAGTGTGTCATCTTTGCTAAGTTTATTGCGAATGTGTTCACATGCTCTATCGACTGAAATGGCAGTAAACAATGACACAACATCAAATGAAATCATAATTTCGTCATCTTCAATGGTGGTGTTAATCAGTTTATTAGTGAAGTCAGTAGAGTTAGTGACTGAGTAACCGTTGTGATTTTGTAATGGTGACAAAATATGTGCAAGGTGTTTGGACATGTTATAAAGAGCGGTGTTCCTATATGTTACAATGGGGCGCAATGGATTGCCTGGTTTATGATGTTTGATTGACCCGCGGATAGCGGGGGGTATGCCGTCAGTTGAATGCAGTTTTTTGTATGTTCGTTCGTCAAGTTTTTGTTGTCATTTGAGTTCGAGCAATTGGGAGTTTAACTCACGTTCAATTCTTTTAAAAGGAGGTTTCGTTACTTTGTCGTAGGTGTTTGGGTCAGACAGGAGAACTTTTTTTCTGACAACAATGCACAACATTTACCAGAACAATATAGATTTTTATTAAAAAAGAACAGATCATAGACATAGTTTTATATTTATAAGTATACTCGTT